AATTTCTCTGAAATATTAAAGATGAGTGCAGAAGATGGAATACAGAAAACATTTCTTACAATTCAGGATATTATTGAATAAAAGGGATGAAGACAATGTACAATGGAAAAGTTCTAGGTAAGCTACCTACAAAATTAACCAGTTAGCATAAGAGCCAGAATACCCAATCTGGAATGAGAAGAGTCTAAAATGTGTTGAAATAATCATTTTAAGGAAGGAAAATATTTGGTATGATTTAAATTACCAAATAAATTCATTACATTTATTCAAGTGTTTATTTATTATTATTTCAAATCATTTATAATAATCTAAGTTTGGGAGATGTGCGAAAACATTTTTCAAACTGATATTGCTTTGGACACTGTTAAAACGCCAGTTAATGCATTTGTCAAATAAATACAAAATGCAAAATGGTAAATTGATAATATCATACTCTCTCTTCAATTCTTGCATATTTGCTATTGATGTTTCTTAGAGGGAAAAAATCTTATTTAAAAAGCTCATTGATTCGAACTGAGCCCATCTGGAAAATTTCTAACACTGTCTTATTTATAAAATAATTTCATTGAAAATGATGATAATTTTTTCCCAGTCATAATGTAAAGATCATTTTTCTTTGATATTTTGCCAACTGTTAAGTCATATTGGAAAAATTCACAATGGTCAATGGCTCCTTTCAAAATGGGTGTACTGAAAGATTCATATATGAGTAATATGACAAAAATTCTAAATTTGGAAATTAAGAAGTGTTACAGATTCTCAAAAATATGTGTATGCTTATGTGGAAAAAAGATGTCTAAGGGGTGATAGAAAAATATGATGGATGTTTAATTAAAAACCTTACTAAAATGTAAAGGTGCAAATTTCCAATGACGAATGTCATTATATTGTATACCTGAAATGGACCAATAAAATTAATTTTTAAAAAAACCTTACTAAAGTAAAATGCATTGCTAAGAATAATGAGATAAATGTGCTTGCATTGAAAGGAGGTGTTTTGAGAGGGATTGATGGCAATGTGTCTTTAACTGTAATAAATTTAAAAAAAATTAAACATTCACTATTGTTTAATCATCCCTCATTGATCAACTGTTTCTGACATTTTTTTTTTTAAAAAGGAAAACATTATGGTGTGTCTTCATCCAGTTTATTCACTGGATCTGGCACCTTGTGACCTCTGGCTCATCCTCAAAGTCACAGTGACCAAAGAGGCAAACATTTTGATTCAATTCAAAACATTAAAGTAGCCATAACTGTGCAACTGAAGACATGGAACAGATCTTCTAGAACTGTTTTTGAGAGTAGCAGGAATGATGGGATAAATGTGTCTGAAGCGAAGAGGTGTATTTTGTGGGTGATTAATGGCAAGGTGTATTGTGGTGTAATAAATTTTGAAAAATTCAAACTTACAACTCATTTTTAATCACACCTCATATGCTACATGAGTACTGCTGAGAAAGATGACTAAAACTCACTCATAACCTTATACCACATTGATTAATTTTTCAAATTTTGCTTTTTTATTCTCTAGTTTCCAAACCTCTCTTATATTTACTAATTACTAAGCTTTATGAATCTCTAGATAGCTAGTTAACTGTACCCTATTGCTGTTGAATACTGTTCTATTGTTAGTAGAAGTAAGTTACTTCATTTTGTATATATTTACTGTAGGCCAACAGTAGGTCAATATTGTTTGTCTTATTGTTCAAGCTATAATTATAGATCTCTACAGAAGTCAAGAGATATAAATAATCTAGAAATGAAGTCTTCAAATGTATTTTTGTAACAAGTTTGAAGAACTAAGCTCAAAGAGGTACTAATAATGACATTTTTTAAGAGACTCAAAATAAACTAACTGTGGTTTCTTTACACCTTCCACCTTTTAGATTTCCAGTTTCATGTCAGGGTCAAGAAATAATAATGAAATTAAAGTGAGAGGATTAGAAATATTAATTACTTATTTGTCATCTCCGTGTCTTTCAATATTTGTATGGAATTCACAAATGAGTTTGGAATCCATGTCAAAAATTACAACTTATTATTTTCAGATCCATTTTATGTTCATATATATTAGGAATAGTTACTTGAAATGTGTACCATTTTTTATACATTGAGTGGACTATTTAATGGAAAAATAAGTCCTCACTTATTTTAAAGACAATCCCGAGTCCTCCAATTTTCTGTAATCATATGGTATTTTGTTCATGAGGCGCTAAGCCTTGTGTGGAAGAAGCTGTAGGAAATGGTCTCCTGATGGCAATCACAACTTAGATGTGGCACATGTGTCTAAATTATAGCAGCCTTGCATTGTATCCATCATTTTCTCCTGCCCAGCAAGTTTTTCCTCTCTTCTCTCTTTAGTGAGCTGATGCCTCCATGCACTCATTCAGGAGCCAGGAAGTCTGCAGTTTCTTGGGCATCCCTTTCTTTTGTTGCTTAGTGTTTCACCCAATCATATAAATTGCACATTTTCACCTGTTAGCAACCTGCCCCTCATCTCCCTTCCAGTAGAGTGTGAGTCTACACCCTCATCACTTCCTTGGACTAATGAAAGAATCCTCTTAAAATTCATCAGTCATTCTACTTCTGCGGGCAACGGCTTCGTGTCAGGCACCGATAAATTAGAAAATCATTAAATTAGCCATAAAATATCCTTAAGATCCTATATAATTTAGCCCTTGTGTACTCCTTTCCTCTGATCTCTTTCCAAGCTTTCACCTTGAGACCTTTCTATTGCCAACCAAAAATGTATAGTTTCTGAATCACACCAGGCTGTTTTCTGACTCTGCTGAGTTCTATCCCCATTCCTCATCTTTCTTCAAGACTCCTCTTCTCTGAGGATAAAAAAAAAAAAACACTAATTTTTATACATACAGCTCAAATGGGTCAAATTCTTTACCCTTTCTGTTGTTTCCTGCATACACGCAGGTCTTCCATAATCCCAAGGCAAGGAGTTAACAGGACTTTCAAATAGGTTAAGTCATTTTCTCAGGGCCACATAGGAAACAAGTTACAGACAAAGAGAGAGATTTGAACTCAGGCAGTCTGACTTCAGAGTTCAAGTGTACAACTGAGACAGGGGTTAACAGGAGTTTGAAGTAACCACCTTGAGGTAGAGTGGAGGAAATAAAGACTAGGTAGAAAGGAGACAAGGAAATCGAGTTTTTAAAATTGAACTTTTAATAAAAACTGTAGCTTCAAGGCAAAAGTTACTCAAGTCCTTTTTCCTTCCAGGAAATTCACTCCAAAAAACTAAAATAAATAAATTCTCACTAATCCTATAAATCTGGGCACTTAATCTGTCCTTTTCACCTATGAACTGCACTTCCTCCATCCTCAAGAAGCAGCAACCTTGGTGGGCAGCAGATCTCAACTTCAAACACAACTGGATGATTTGCTTCATACCCTGATGGACAGAATACTGTGCAAATCCTAGATCACCCATCTTGATGACACCCTCTTAAATGCTGTAACTCGGGCTCACAAGATGTCACATTTGTTTGAGCACCACACTCCGCTCTTGAGTATATTCTATATCTCTGTCTAACCAACCGTTCTCATGTCTTTTACTGATGCATTCTTTTTCCTTGACAGGAGTCAGCAAACCTGCACTTATTTAAAGGGTAGGATAGATTCCTTATTTTAGTCTTGGGACCCCCCTCAGACCCAGCCTGGTGACAATCTGATAGGAAATAAGTGAGCAACTGCACTTCTGAGTGATAAAAGAAGAAAGAAACCAAATATTGGAGTTAATCAAAGTATTATAGACAGCTAAATTAGGTAGCAATTAATGTACAGAGAGGGACTGGACCCTCAAGGAAGTCAGCACAAAAAACAGAGACATAAGAATTGTGGCTGGAGGCAAATCTCAAATGAACTAGGCCTCAAGATGGAGAAGCAATAGCAAGGGCTGGAGCCCCCTTAGAGATAAACAGCAACTTCAGGTTACACTGTAATTAGCACCACCTGGTCCAGTGGGCCCAGATAGGCATCAAACTCATAGGTGGGGAACCAGAACATCTGGATCCATACTCTTCTCTCTAATGCCTTTGTTCTTTCCATATACTCTTGGTACATAACTCATTTCCCTATTGGATCAGTGTTAGCTAAGCAGCTATACTTGTAATCGTATAGGTTGATTGTAGTCTGACCCACATTTAACCTACATTGTGATTTTGCTGTATAAATTGCTCCTGACAAAGAGCCTGAGTGGCCACTCACTTGGGACTCCTCCTGGAAGTCCAAGAGCTATTCTTCTTCCCCTTATTTCCAGAGAAACTCTCCTAACTTCCTCCTTTGGTTCAAGACTTTGTTCCTTGATATCGTGAGACCACAAACTCTGCACATTTGACATCTAACAGGTTGAGAGTTATATTTTTCCTATATAAAAAGGAGCAAACTGTACACTTCATTGAGAAAGAAAACAAATAATTAATCAAAGGAGCAAGCACACACAGTCTCCAAGAAAAGAGAGCAGATTGCACAGGTAAACTGGATGAGATCAGTGCAAATAGCTAAAGTGCACCCAGTTCTGAGACCCCTGTACCCTTCTTAAAAAAATCCATGAATAATTAATGACATTCCTTTGAGACCCCATAAAATTTAAATGCCTCCTTTGTGTAGGGCTGCTCAATCTATGAAGTAGCCAATCTTTTCTGTCCTTAACTAGGCTGTTGGTGGAGGAACTGATTTCATTGTCTTTTCTAGGGTTGGTGTCTATAGAGCAGCCAACTGTGTTTCTTTCCTGTAAGAAGCTTTCCCTTTAGTCTTGAAACTGGCCTATGTATAATTTCCATCTTCTGTGCAGCTAAGAATCCATGGGAGCCACCTAAAACACTTTTGCATGTATCTTTTCACCTGTATATTTTTCCATGGTGAAATTAAAGCCCCCTCTGATTCATTCATCTTTTTTTTATCTTCAGAAAATTGCAAAGTTTTAGAAAAAGAAAAGATGTGTGATACTTGCAAATGCTTATTGATTGATAGATAAATGTCCATACCCGGGTTGACAATAGGTTTTTTAGGTGGAAGTCATATTTTTTTATTGCAGTTGACAAGCACTGTCTGAAAAGAAAAGGAAATTTAGTTAAAATTGGGTGAGACATCTTATATAATTTTTAACACAAATATTTCTCACAAGTACTATCTTGTCCATGATTCAACAATAGGCAGGGAGTAAAAGGGACTACACTTGATATAATTTTATAAATATTTCATATGAGTGTTTAATAAAGTTCGTATAATTTGATAGAATACAAATATATTCAAAAATGTTAACATTCCAAGGAATCATGACAAACTGAACTTCTCCAAGTGAAACTGGGTTCTGGGATTCTCTATTCTTTCTTGGTCCTTGGTGTCTGGAACAAAGAATTGGTCCAGTCATGTGAAAAAGGTAGCAGAGTTTTGCATTCATTAAAGGTAGGAAAAGAAGTACACTCTGCCATGTGAGAGCCAGCCACAGAGAGAGCTTACAGTACCTACGAAGTTTGTGGTAGAGATCTTTTGGCAGATCTAGGCCATCTAATCAAAAATCTGCTTGATTGTGCAGCAGGAGAACTGAAATTAGCCCTTGCTGATTGGTCCCAAGTATAGGGCTTGGGGAACTATGTTCTGCGCATCTCTGTGATTAACAGGTCATGCCCATTTGCTCAGCTGGTTGACCACACCCTAATCTCCTGCCTCCAAAGGCCAATCATTACAGTATACAGAACTACTGTTAATTAAGAATGAAAGTTGCCAATATGTAATATTGAGAAATGTGTAGTTGGTCTTTGTCCAAGTTTCCTGGCATGTGACTCCTAAAAGTCCTTTGAAGTCTCCAAAGTGGTGTCTTCTAGATGGGAGCTGGTCACAGAAAAAAGCAGAGCTTTTAGTCCCGTGACTCAATGTCTAAGAGAGGAGAGGGTGTTGGGGTTAAGTTAGTCACCAAGGCCTGGTGATTTAATCATGCCTTGTTAATCAAGCTTCCGTAAATGAATCTCCATGGCTGTTCACATGGAGGTTCTGGAGAAGACATGGAATCTACCCCTTTCCTCCCATACTTTGCACTATGCCTCTCTTCATCTGTGTCCTGTGTAATACCTTATCATAAACTGGTCAACTCACCTCCCTGAGTTCTGTGAACCACTCAAGCAAATTAAATGATTCCAAAGAGAGTGCTTTGTGATTCCTGAGTTACATCCAGTTAGTCACCAGCATAAGTAAAACCAGGAGAGGTCTGTAATTGGCATCTGAAGCATATGTATGTGGTGGTGAGCAGTCTAGGAGACAGCCCTCAATCTGTGGTATCTGACTCTTTCTCCTGGAAGACACTGTCAGAACTGAATTGAATTACAGAACATCCAATTCTGTCCACTGAAGATTTGACTGCTTGCTGATAGGGAGAAATCCCCACACCTTTTAGAGTCACAGAAATCTGGGTTGACAGTAGTAGTGTGAGAGCAGAGGAGAAACAAGTCTGTTTTCAATTGGAAAGACAGTGGTAAATATTAACACCAAGAAATGTTAAACAAATGAAATGTTATGGAGAATTGCTTCTGGAAGTAATGGCACATATTTTTAACAGAAAGGATGGTCTTTGCACCAAATCTGTGGATTTTTCTTTCCTGACCTTCTCTTCCTGTTCCAGTTTTACCCATGTTTAGGTGGAATATAGATTCGTGTGGATTTTATTGTTGAAATTATTTTCTACAACATCATTAATTTTACCTTCTTATTTGTCCTAAAAACCTCTCAACTGAATGATGAATTATGTAAAAAAAAAAAACCAGCATGAAAAACCCATCAATATATTTCACAACAGCTGCCTTTTCACTCTTTACTGCACTACCACCTCAGATGGAGTCTGTTAATCAGCTCTAAGAGGAAACAGAATATGGAAAAGACGACGAAAGGACAGGAAAAGAATAGCATTTTAAAAATATAAAACTTGTTTCTAAAACTAAAAGCTCTCTCTCTCTCTGCCCATCTTTTCTTGTTTTCCTGGATAAATTTATTTTGTAAAAAAGGAAACTACACTGCAGCCTTTGTTAATATGCTATATCGATAAGAACTCACACCTGATCCATATAACTAGCTAGGAAATAAAAATTTGGGTTAGATTATGATTAAAAGTCATTGCCGTCCTAGACATTCTATGATTTTATACAGGAAAGCTGGACATTTTGTGAAGGATGATGGGAAAGAGAGACACACATAAAAGGACAAAAGTTTAATGGAAAAATATGGCTTTTGAAAATTTCAGATTGAACTGATTTTAGTACTGACTCTAATGACCTGATTAAACTTAGGAAATTTAGATGGCCTCACAGAATTTCAGGCTGCTTGATGCTGAAGTTGATAATACACAGTATCCTACTTCAGTGTTCTCCTCCTGGGGATGGATTAGATGTGAGCATATACAAAATGTATAATCTTTTCATGAAGAGATAATTGTTATTAATATTAAAAGCAATTTTAAATAGCATTTTATATCAGGCTTTACTTAAAAGATTTATGAGATGTTCCTCCCACATCATGTTTTTGCTGGTTCAGCCCAAAACAATTTAATGCCAGAAATACCCAGTCTGTAGCACTGATTTCTTCTCCTAGTTTAGGTTTCTGATAACTCTGTTCTTTCAAATAATACATGCCTATATTTAGGTGTAAGAATAATTAGGCTATGTTCACTTCCTGTCACTTGAATTTTCCAATTTGAATTTACACTCCTCTGTTTGTGATATACCAATTATTTTCAGGGTGTTCCAGAAAGAATTTTTTTTTTTTTTTTTGGTACCAGGGATCAAACTTGGGACCTTGCGCTTGTGAGGCAGGCCCAGGAACCACTAAGCTAAATCCCCGGCCCTCCAGAAAGAATTTTAAGCAGAAGATTATGACTTTCAAAGTATGGAGATTTAGTTTTACAAAGAGCTTAGCCACACATGCATACCTAAATTCACAAAATGAATTAAAAAATCATTGAGCATACAATAACCGGCAGCAGAGATATTTTAAAATGAATGTTAGATTGTTCTGGAAAGTGCTAGCACCTCTTCAAATATATCTGAAGAGGTGTGAAAAATAGATAATTACAGAATTTGCCAAAGGGAGATGTCTATTAAAACTACAATAGCTTCCACTGTACTAGTGAAAGGACAGATTTTACAGTGAACTGAAAAATATTGTGAATTGGCATTTGAGAACTCAGCCAGAAAGTTGTCTTGGAACAGAAATAAAACATCTTGGGCTGGGGATTTAGCTCAGTGGTTTCGCCACCTGCTGCACAAGCACAAGGACCTGAGTTCGATCCCTGGTAGCCCCCCCCCAAAAATAAATAAATAAAATAAAATAGAGTTTTTAAAAAAAGAAATAAAACATCTTACCTGGATACTTTCCAAATGTGTGTAAATTCTAGAAGTTGGTTCAGGTGCAACTCACTGTAGTCATCATCAGGCTGTGGAGAACAGAATATATTAACATTTATGGAGGGAACAGGGATGACTACCAGATATAAAAATACGTCTGTGGCTTCCTGCTGTCTTTTTAGTCATCTATTTTGATAATCTTCATTCATCACTTTTGTACTTTGTCTTAATGACCTTACAAGATTCTCCTTAACTGTATAATCCTTCTCAATAGTGAAACAGAAACTGGAGATCTGGGTAGGGTTACATCTAGGAGGATGTGGAAATACATCTTGGCATCAGGAAGGCCAAAGAATTTCTCCTAGTAACTAGGAAGGCACGTTTCTAGGCACCAGTTCTCTCCACATGCCTGCACTTTTCCCATCCCTTCCCCTTGTCCTCTTTCTTCTACTTTTCTTTCTAAATGCACTGAGGCCAAATAGGCCATGGTGGTGTGCAACTCTAACTCACCAGATGGGTGGGAGGCATGGGAGGAACTGGTCTGCATTTTTCAGTTTCACCATATCTTGCTGCCAAAAAGTCAGCCTGAGAGAATTTTCCAATTTGGGTGCACTAGATTATGCTAATGGATGACAATTACTGATAACTCTAAATTCTACGAGTTACTCTTTGGTAGTTTATTTTCTACCCATGTGAGCAAGAATTACTCATCTCCAATTATCAGTCCTACGGCACACACACACACACACACACACACACACACACACACAATCTCAATTCCTTCACCAACTTTCCAAATAGGCTTTCAAGAAAACCCTGTGCACCCCAGCAGAGAATGCAGTACTCCACCACGCGGCACTATTTGACCATGAGGTGGCAACAAATTTGAGTGGACTGAGTCCCTTCATGCCCAGGTGTGAATAACCTTGTGTGTCCATGGGTCACACCGTCTATTTCCCAAATACCCCTTACAGTTGTTGACAGAAGACATCAGAAGCAAAACCTTTCTAAGGCTGAAGGTCAAAGGTAAATGATTTTTATGTTTTGTGAGGAGATAGAAAGAAGCTAAGCTACATGGAAGGAATAAGTCATCACTATAAAGCAGTACTCTGAATGCATGCTGTGAAAAAGAAACACTTTACAGAAATGGGAAGGAACTTAGAGACAGATGTACAGTTTACTCCGGGAATGTGCATCTAGCATCTTGAGGATAGGTAAAACAGAGTCATAGTGATGATTCAATTTTTTTCTGAATTGAAGAAATCTAAACTTAGATATGTTAAGTTCAGTAAAAAGGAAAGGAAAATTTAAAGTAAAAAACAGTCAAAAAGATAGTAAGATATTTTTAATGAATGAACGAATGAATTTTTGTTTCCTAGGAATTGAGCCTATAGTCCTTGTGATGAGCTAAGTCCACAGCCCTTATTTTATTTCTTTATTTTATTTTATTTTGTGACATGGTCGTGCTAAATTGCTAAGTTGCCCAGGTTGGGCATGAATATGTGAAACTCCTGCCTCAGCTTCCCAAAATACAGTAATATTATAGGTATGTGTCACCACGCTTAATAGAGGTACTTAAGACTGAAACTATGTCTTCTTTCAGAAGTTAAAACCAAAGCAAGCATATAAATAATATGATTTTACATGGTTATGTATTGACAAATAAATTAATTAAAATATATTTATTTGAAAATTTCAGTCTACCTATGCATATTCATTATAAAAACCACTTTATTTGATTTCCAGAGATACTGATACGTGTTGGGGATTGGCCCTTGTCCTATTGCCATTTAGTAGAATTTTTTAAACAGTATCTCAAAATGCTGGAGTAAATTTTCAGCAACTGTACATGGAATATAGTGTTAATTTTACTTTTCCCCAAAACTGAAGGTCATACATTGGTTTTAAGAAAGAAGTTCAAACCTATTTTTTTATAAAAAATTCTATTGATATAATTGTTCTCTGAATACTCCCCCAAACTAGAAGGGAATCTTTTTATGATTAATATCTACAATGTTGACATATTTTATCAACTTGGGGAGAGACAAAATACAATTAAATATTTCAAAAAATTCAGTCATTCACATCATACCTAATCAAGGTAGGAGTTTTAAAATTTTGAGATCAGGGATGGTTTCTAAAGACCATCAAATTGATTTATGATCAATCTTTTAGAACAAAAATTAAATAAGCATATTTCAGTAAATATAATGAAGTTTAAAATAGGGAAAGCATCTAAGATGAATAGAGCTTTGTAATGCCTTTTACAATTAGAAAAATTAGAACATTGAAAGTCAATGATGCCAGTAAATTTTATCAAGTATACTAATTATTATATTCCCAATATTATGGGAAAAAGTGCTATCAAGCCCCTTTTACAATTTCACTAGAATGAAAATGTAATTGTCCATAGATGTTTAGCTTACAGCTGAAATTCTGAAAATCAAAGAAGATTCTGACAGCATTTAAAACAACAGAATTAAGAGAAAACATTCACTATCTCTTTATGATATCTTATAAACCTCAAGGGTCAATTATTTTAATATTATATAATTCATATTTTAATATCATATATTTATTCATATTTTAATATTATGTAATAATTCACATAATGAACTCACATCATAAGCTGATAAACTGTCAGTTATATTAAGCTGATCAATATATCATATATATCCTAGAAAGAAGAAACTTTATAAAATTTATATTAAAACCTAGGCAATTCTCTTTTTTGGTCACATATGTAAGCAGAACTTAGTAGGCACTCAGGGCCAGAATGCTGATAGAAGTGTGGATAGTGTTACTGATGAGGCTTCAGGTGGAAATTCTCTTCAAAAACTGAATAATAAGAATACTTACCCGATCTGGTTACTATGGAAACTCAACTGAGAAATAAAAGTGAAGAGCTTAAGCTAGTGCCTGGCCTTGGTAGTACTACACAGTAAGATTGATACCGTAAAACAAAGGTGTTAGACTTATGACATTGTGGTCCTTTATTACTGAAAATTCTAAAGTTTCATTAAAATTAGTTCTCATGTAAGCATTTTAAAAGTTTACTCGTGGGGTTGAAAATAGTGAGAGATATGGAGATGTAACTTAATTATCTCTACAATTCAGATGACATAGTGAAAAACAAACATTTCTAGTGACAACTCTACATTATATACTCCGAGATGACAACATGTTCCTAAATGTGGTGGTAATGCCAATGGTGACAATAGCCCAAAGATGCTGCTTTGGATGAAGTTATAATATAGTGGGCTCTACGACCAGAATGCTTTTGCTCAAATCCCATTTCCTTTGTTTGCTATCTGTAAGAACTGGGACCTTTGAATCAATCTCTTAAGTTTTCACTTCTTTTAATTAAATATGATGGGGAAAATATAGTATTTATCACTTTTTTGCAGTTAGGTTATTTAATCATTTGAAGGGCTGAGAGTAGTACCTAGTATATAATAGATGCATGATATGATTAGTTATTATTAAATACATATGATATCCCAGTCTCTAAGTTATATGAATAGTACTGTGGTAAATAAGGCAAAACAAATAAAAAATACACCAATTTCTCTAATACATCTAAAATCTATGAGAATAGCATGGAAATTCTAGGTACACTTTGCCATATAGAGTTGGCAGCATACTATGTAGGTTCCACAGACTTACTGGCTGTACCCAAATCCATGCAAGCTCCTGTCCTCACTGGTTCAATGGTTATAATCTTAAGAGAGTCCTGGTGCCTCCCTGGAAGTCTATTTCTTTATTTTCGATAGTACTTTCTGCTTAGAATTGCAAAGATTAAATTGTGATAGAGATGTTAAAATCTCAGACATAAAATATATGCTAAATATATATTATATCAGAATAATGGAGTTAGATGGATTTTAAAATAACACTTAATTTATGTGAGACTGAAATGTTAGTGTTTTGTGAATTGCTACACCAATGACATAAATTATATTTTAGAACCATGCAAATTAGAATCATATATTTTCTCTTCTTTGCCCATGTTGCAGTGAAAGATGATGATTTCAATGTTTTCTACAATTTGGAGGGTAATTTAAAGAATAGTAAGTTTATTAATGCTGACAACATTAGTTGCACTTTATAATGTTTCTTTCTGGAGATTTCAGATGCATAGCCCTGGAGCTGTCAACAGCAGTGAGGCTGGAAACAAGATCCAAAAGATATTTCTAAACAGCTCTCTTTTGGCCTCATTATGTTCTATTCCACATAGATATATTGCAACCTCATGTACTGCCTGACATTTTTTATGATGAAACACCTTATATTAGGAGAAAAAAAGAATCAAGCACTAGAAATCTGTTATCAGACAGAAATGACAAGGTGATAGGATTTTTGCCTAACGCAGGTAATTGGAAGATTCTAGAGATAAAAACTGCCAAAATAACAAAGTTCACTGCATACTGTGCAATTTGGGTTGGAAGTAACTCAAGACATCACATAGGGAATAAAATTCACATCTAACAGCATGAAATTGTATGATGAAAGCACAGTAATCCCTTTCTAGGTAGCTTTATCATATATACTATGAGTATTATCTGTCCTGATTTGAGCTGTTTTATTTATGGATATAAACAGTCTTCAGATATAACTAGAGTTGTATTTTTTTCTGCCTTTCATGGTTTCTCCTTTACCTGCCTCAAAATGACCTACCTTCTAATGCTATCACATGATGGGTAGGATATCGGGGCATAGACATTCAGTATATAACACTAGGATTGCATTCATCATGTTGCTATAGTTTACTTTAAGAGGCATTTAGCTTAAATATTTCACCATGTGGCAATCACTATACTGAAGTAAACATGTGTTGATTGAGTTATATCATTCTGGGTTGGCAGACAGAAAAGCACACTGTCATTAAATCTATTCATTTATTAAATGAAACCACTGCTTAGAAAATCTTACCTTTCTAGATAACTTTCCTGGAGCTGTCCTATTTTTCTGTAGATGAAGTTGAATAACAGATTTATTTTTCTGAAACATTTTGTGGCTCCCCAAACAGTGGTCACTGAAGAAGAAAAAAACCGAACATGATCTTATCCTCCCATAATAGCCCGAGTGTGTGTTTTCTTTCCTGACTTCATTTCCTTTTATTTTTGAAACTCAGTCTGGTAAAGTCTGGAGTAAACTGTGAGCGTGTGCATTTACACAAATGTAATGAGGGGAGGTGTATATTTGATATAGATGACAACATATTGCAATTTTTAGAAATGCATTAATAAATTAGAAAATGTTGGGTACATTTAGAGTGGTCATAATTATGGTAAAGAATATTTTATGTATTTAAAGTTAGTTTTTTTATTTGTTTGTTTGTCTTTGTTGGTACTAGGGATAAAACTCAGGTCCTTGAGCTTGTGAGGCAGGCACAGTGCCACTAAGCTAAATCCCCAGCCCTAAAGTTAGTTTTATCCAGCTCTGTCAAACCAGAAGACAGCATGCTTCGGGGAGGTGTAGTTGCTGCTACGATGTTTATATGGGGACCACTGTACGGGGGCATAGAGATATAGTAGAAATGTCATAGGTTTTGTCATAGGCTCTGAAATTCAATATTGTCTTCTTTAGAGTTGACATATTACTATTTACATTAAAGGGTTCACAAGAGATTATACAGTAAAAACCCTTTATATTTTAGGTATTTTTAATGTTATGGTTATAATTTTTCTTTCTTCCTCTCTGTTTTTGTAAATATTTGCCAAGCACAAATTAAATGAGGAGCACAAGAATTATTGTCTTGAAACAAATTGTTTTAAATGAGCTCTAATTTTTCTGAAAATGAAGAACTTTTACTGTATTATCTCCTTTAATTTTTACATCTCTGACTCCTTTTAGTTATTTAAAAAGGTATTATGTTAGTGGATTTTATTCAAAGAATCTTGGTAAAATATACATAGCATTTCAGGAGAAAAATCTACAAAATATTTGGAGTCATAAAATGGTATTTTACTAAATCTGGTGACTACCTGTTTCCAAAACTCAGACAAATAGATATCACTGTGTTAATATATATGAAATACTCTTTAAAATTTTTATTTTGACAATTGTTATTTTTAGTACCTAACCATTATTATTAAGGGGTTATTAATCGCATTACCTTTAGTGTCTAGAACTACACTGTGCAGCACAGTAGTTGCTAGACACATGGTAATGTGGTGAGCCAGTAGATAGTGAGCCAGTAGAGGTGAGTCTGAATTAAGATGGATTTTGAGTGTGAAGCACAATTGGGTTTTGAAGACTCATCACAAAAAATAACATAAAACACCTCAAATTTTATTTTTATTACATATTAAAATAATATGATGGGTATATTGAGTTAAATAAAATATAGTATTAAAATTCATTGTCAATTGTTTTCTTCTCCTTTTTTATTTTTTGTGGTACTAAGGATTAAACCCAAGACTTGCATATTTTAGGTACATTTTGTCACCACAATACTTTTTATTTTGCGATGAAATCTTGATAAATTGCCCAGGCTGCCCTTGAACTTGTTATTGTCCTGCCTCAGCCTCCTGAGTAGCTAGAATTACAGGAACATGCCATCATGCCCAACTTCCTTTTTTATTGTGGTTAATAGAAAATTTAAAACTGGTAGGTAGCCATTGTGGTATTTTTATTGGATTGTATTAATTCAAAAGAAATAAAAAAGAAGCAAGAAAAGGCATTTCAGGCTAGAAATAAGGGTGGTGTGTATAATTTAGTAAGTAAATGGAGTAAGAAAACAAATTTTCACTTTAGGAGTCTAGGTCTCAGAAAGGGTAGAAAGAAAGATTACTAAACCAAGAAAAAGTGATGAAAACCTAGAGATGGACAATGTAGAGGGAAGGGTTTCAGCACTAAGAGAACAGTCCACTACACTAATAGTGTGGGAGTGGAATTATCCCTATCAGGCTGTACACACAGATTTCAGATATGAGTGCTTAGTAGATTTTTATTTTTGGTACCAGGGATGGAACTCAGGACCTCACATTTGTCAGGCAGGCGCTGTGCTGCTGAGCTAAACCCCAGCCCAAGTGCTTACTAGATTTGATTTAGTAGTCATGTATACAATTTCAATTTTTCACTAAGCTGAATCTATGATGCAATCAAAATTTAGGGTTTATTCCAAATATATACTGGTATATCAAGATTTCTCTACATTCATTATTTATTCTTTCAACAAATATTTTATTCCAGTTGTCTGATAGTTACTATTTTAGAAGCTATTATGAGAATGCTTGTCATTCAAGATCAACACTACAAGGCAGAACCCTTGGACAACTATCTCTATTTCCAGTCAGAAATAGCTCATGTTAATTTAAAAGTATTTCCATGACAATATAAAGAGAGATCAATGGCCTTAACACCAACATGATATGCGAGTACTCAGATTTGTCCTGGTGCCAAAATATTAGTGTCCAGTTTATAAATATTGATTTTCATCATCCTAGGCACTCATTTCCAACCCACATTTCTGAGCAGGGCACTTTCTTTGGAATAAGTACATATTTTGGTTTTATAGGATAGAAAGTTTCAAATTTTTTTCATTGTTTGTGTATGAAGAAGTAACAGTTAGATTGTGAAATATTAATGTCATATATTTTTAAAAAACTATTGCCATTTGGCCTTATGAATATTGACAGCCAGGACTGTTGACAGATTTTTAAAACTATTTCCTTAAGAAAATTCAGTAATTAAGCTGAACCTCTAACAAAATATGAGTAGGTCAAAAAATATCAAGCAATTATACAAAATATTAAAATATTAATGATACCATTATTAGAACTATTAGTAGTAGTGCACAGAGTGCATTTTGAATAGTTCCATGTGTGTATGGATGAACTCTCACACACAGGCACATACAGCTTCACTGGGCATTTCCAGTTTGAAACTTCTATGATATTACATCTACCACACTGTTAATTCTGGTAAGATAGCCATTTTGATCAACTAAATAGTCTAGATTCTATCCTCAAAGTGGAATTTAGAGATGACTCACACAGATAATGAGCAGTGGTATGTTGTTTCTGAAAACCAGAAGCCTTCAAATGTATTGTTAGTTTGCTTTCAGGGGAATAATGATTAGGAAAAGTTAAATTCCATGATTTAGAGAGACAGTAACAGGGTATACTCTAAAACTAAGTCTTCTATATTGTGGAAGAGGGTAGTGCTTTTGAACAGAAATGGTTTATGAAGCATAAATTGATACCAATACCTATTTCTCAAGAAGGAATTGGACCAAACAAAAGGAAACCTTTCTATTCAAATTTTCAACTTTTCTTAAGAACTTCCTCAGCCTTTAAAAGACAACTGTTGTCATACTCCTCATTAAAATATGATTATATTCCTTTATACTTGAGTATGCATACATTTTAATTCAAAAATAAAATTAAATTGAATGTATTTAATTGAAAAAAGGTTTTAACCTAGAAGAAATACTTTATATTAATTTTCAATGCCTCTCTACTGAGCTATACAGTCACAACAATTAAGTAATAGCAAAATAATCTATGTAAATGAAGTTAACTAAAATAGAGAGTCCATATGAAAATAACAGTGATGCTGGAGCTCTGTATTCTCTGCAAAAAATATGTACTAAGCTCCAAGGAGCTCTTTTCAGATATAGATGTAAATCTGAAATACAGTCAACTTCCCAGGAGATCAGAAATAGTGATTGCATTCTATCTCAAAGTTTCATTATTTTTCCCACAAAATCTCTAGAGGAGAAACATTCTGTAGCCTTTGCTAACAGAAAACATTCAGGAACTGAGATTAAAATAGCAATTTCAGCCTTATTAAGGTGATACTGGCCACTCTGAAATTATATGTATATATTTCAAAAGTTCTCTAGCTAATCATTTTTTACATTTAAATAAATCAGAGGACTAGGTTATTTAAACTTCAATTGATTCAAAATTGGGAAAGGGATTTAAAAATTAATAGCTTTTAAAATAATTCTTTAACAAAAACAATAGCTGCCTATTGGGTGCCTAGAGATAATGAAATTAAATGATGTACCTACATTTAGTTATGATTTGCCATGTTTTTATCTGTAATATCTTTGTGCTTCTCTTTATCTAGTCTGTTTTTTAATGATGCTTGCATAATTCAGCTCCTTTGAAAACTCAGCGTTATTTCTTACATGTTGCTCCTAATAAACAATATTTATTATCACAGCTCTTTCTTTAGAGAACTGGTCTCAAATGAAAGATACACAAAATGTCCACTCTTGAGTACATTTGTTTTAGTTTGGAGTTATTGAATGAGAACCCAATGTAAGTTTGTACAATATGTTCTTCTTATTGTTGTTAGCTATTTGTTAACGATAGAAACCAGAGTTAATTTTGACATTTCTGGAAAATCACCATGAAGGCAATCTAACTTCAAGAAACCTAAGGTAAATTATTTGAGTAACAACACACTTTCTGAATTGCGTGAGAGATTATGACATGTTCCGTTCCATTTACCCACATGGCCCTGTGATTTTAAAAGTGGAACAGTACTGAAAGTGATGTCCAAACAGTTACAACGGAGTAGACTATAATTTGAAGCCTTAGGCTGTTCTGAGTGTGGTGAACATAATCAAATATTTTAAGTTTGTTAAATGAAATCTTTAATTTCGTTGAGAATAAGAGTCCTCTTTCCTACCCCCGAAATACATACAACCTAGTTTTTACTACTAATGAGTGAAACCTATTAACTTATATGTGCATAACTTGGATTTTTTTCTCACCAGTAATTAGGTTTGATTTTTCCTTTGAGTATAAGGAAATTCCAACTTATGATCAAATGTTTATTGATCAACTGAATACAATTAATTTAGGATTAATTAAACTATTTTTAAATAATGAGTTTTTCTAGAGATTATTTTAAAATTCTAATGAAATGGATTTACTTTTTGGGAGAACCCAGGAGAGAGAAAGGGGACCCTGGATAGATAGCCAGGTCAGTCTAATCAAGGCTAATTTATAAATGTATAACTATTTTGAAGTAATATTTTCAGTCATCATAGGATTTTTTCTTTTACATTATATT